GCTCGTAGCGGGCTACCGGTTACTACGCGGACGCATGCCCGCTGATAGCTCAGTGGAGCGCGCGACTTCGTGCCGTAAGCACATTTCCTACGAGTCGATCTCTTTCTTTTCTCTCGCTGCTTCTCTCTCTCTCTCTCTCTCTCTCTCTCCCTCCCCTCTCTCTGTTATCTCTCTTGCTCTCCCTGCTCCTCTCTCTCTCTCTCTCTCTCTCTCTCTCTCTCTCACACACATACATACACACACACCAACATATACACGTACTGTATCTTCCTTTCTCTTTCACTCTCTCTATCTCGTCAAATGTGTAAGTGTAGGTACGCGTGTGCGCGTTTCTTTCTCGCCTCGCCTTGCTTCGCTTCACCTCTCCTCTGTTGTCTATCTCAGCTTTGCTCGTCGCCGCGAGGACGGCAAGCACGTCCGCCGGCAAATAAAATCCGTGTTGGGTGATACAGCGATACGGGTGGTGATAATCGCAGATGAAAGGGAGTAAGAGGAAATGTCGAGCATCCTGAGGGACTTTTCGTGCGTTTTCATAATACATGCGAATCATATCTAGAGACGAAGTACATAGATCAAAATTAAAAACAAGAGATTGCGAGGGGTAGTGAGTAAAATTTATTAAGTGGCAGCAATATCTTTGGAAGAGACGCGTGAATAAATAAGGTGAAAAGAAAAGTGATATTTGAAAGAAGATCAAAAGAAGAGAGAGGGAGAGAGAAGAAGGAGAGAGAGAGAGAGAGAGAGAGAAGAAGAAGGAAGGGAGAGAGAGGGAGAGAGAAAGAGAGAGGGAGAGGGAGAGAAAGAAAGAGATAAAAAGAGAGCATTGGTAATTTCTCTAAAAGATTGGAGAATCTCAAATGTAAACGGCATATTTGTATTTTCTCTCCAGATATAACGTGAGATGCGAATATATCTTTTAAAGTGCACCGTTGATAATTTTGTTTCGTAAAACAAAATTTTGAAATTAAAGAAAAGTTACACGTTTTCTTATGAAAATTGCGAAGATTGCAGTTATCATTCAAAGAGAGCAACGTAGTGAAGAATATAGAGCGAGAAAATAGAAAATCTACTTATTTCTTCGTGTAATCTAGAAGAAAGATTTCATGACAAAACGTTGATCACGATATCTGTGAACAATAATGATCGAGAAAGATATAAAAAGGCGAAGAGAAGAAAAGAATTACGGGTTGACTTAAATGAATATAAATTACTAACATTAAGACACACAGAAAACAAGAGAAAAAAAAGAGTAAAAATTATGAATAATGTCCCCACTTTTTTCTCTTCATTAAGTGCACTATATTACGATATGTTAAGGATTTTTTAGCCATCTAAAATTTTTATACGTTTTTATATGACGTTATAAAAATGAAGGATTATATGAAACTCTCAGTGAAAAAATTATTCGTATTATTTTCGTTTAACATGCCCACTTTGTTTTCCTCATTGTTGCACTGTAGTACTCATATTGAACATGTACGCGTAAGTGCATATCTCATCGTAGCATATACACATCCCGATAATCCGTATAAATAGCCATGTTATACAACAATTCAATGAAGTATTTATGCCTTTATATATCCGCAGATCTTTTTCTCTTTTGGACATCTTCTTTCGGATACCTTTTTCATCTGTCAAAAAACGTGTGAATGTATACGTTTATTTCAACCCAACAGCTGGGACTGATAGAAAGACTTCGCCAGCTGTT